GGTCACATAAGGAAGGTCGAGCCGCGCTTGAGAATGACTCACGCACCGCTGCGTTGTACCACATAATCGCCCAGCACATACCTCAGTTAGGCGATCCCGACAATTTCAATGCCTGCATGGACATGGATGGGTTCGTCAATCTCGTGATCCAGCGCGAGGCAGCCAAGGGTCTGGTGAACCTTCACGACCCCAACTACCTGATGACGCATCGCATGCTGCTGTCATCGCCGGCTGTGCACGTTTCATGCGACAAGGCATCGGCGGACTACATGCCAGCGACGACAACGCAGTAGTCCAGGGGGCGCGCAGGTTCGTCGAGCAGGCGTCCTTTCCGGTTCTGGAGGCGCCAGGGCTACCTTTCGCCAGCGCGGTCTCTCTCTCTCTCTCTCTCTTGCTGTCGCTGCTGGTCATCGTGGGTCGCGGGTGGCTCGAGGGCGTCATTCAGGTATACCTGGAGGTTCTTCGCCCGGGGATGTCTGCAATGCTGACCGCCGCGTCTAGAGCACTGCCGTCGAGAAGGAGATTGACCACGAGCGCCAGACAGAGCTCTTTGATCAGAGTTTCTTCGTCTGCCGCCATCACGCCAGCGACCGATTTGGATTTTAAGAATTGGCTGCAGGTTTCTGATGCTGGAGTGATCAAGTGCTACGACGCCGCAGCTCTCGTTATGTCGGCGCTGAACCACGGTGCCACGTGTCTGATGATGGCAAATTCACTCGGACTCAGCTCCCCACAGATTAGGTTCACGCGGCGTCGACAACATTTGAACATAATGGAGGCAGAGCGCATGGACTTTACATTCGGGGTGCAGCACAGGTCGATTCTGGTGAAGATGGCTCAAGATGTCATGGCAAAGTTACGCGATGCTGACGCGCTGTCGCTCGCAGAAGAATGCAGCAAACATCTGCGTAAGTGGTTCGAGGTGCGCTCTAATCTTGTGGTGATGGCGAATGAGCGCATTTTTGACGGCTCGGGCCTCATCGCGGCCGCTGCCAGTAATTCGAAAGACGCCGATGTTGAGCTCGTCACCGAGATCATTGACCTGTGTCGCGCTGTAACAACTGCTTGGTCGCACCATCGACGACGCGCCGTCGGATTCGTTGATTTGCGACATATGGCCACTGCTATCGCGAATGGGAGGAATCTCATCTACGCTGTGGCCTTCAAGTCGATTCTCGCTCGCCTTTCCGGGGGTCAAGAGTTGGAACTGCTGCGGAGAACCGTGACTGGGACGTATTCAATTTTGGAGCGCAGTCCTTGGGTGCTGCAGTTCAAGTCCCTGTATGATATGATGGAGCGAGAGTACGTCGATCAGAGTTCTTGCGAAATCCAGGGGAGTGGAATTTTGGACGATGAGGTAGCGGATGATGTTTTCGTCAAGGCGAATTCGACTGCGGACGCCGGTTTCTCGCTCGAGACCGATTGGGGATCGATCGCGGCGCAGGCATTGCGCAACTGCATAATCAACGAAGCTGACGAAGAAATTGCGGCAGGCGTCGTTGCGAGGTGGATGGTTGCTGGGTCAGTCGACACGGCCGGACCGGCGATGCCTCCCTTCGACGCACGCCTCGCTCATGAAGCGAATGTGCGCGCGCAGTGCAAGCGTAGCAAACACCGGCTTAAAAGCGAATTGACAGGGCACCAGCTGACGCGCCGTGATGCCCGTCGCCCGGCAGGCTGGCGCCACGCAAAGTACTACGTGTCGCTTACCAGCACCAGCATTGCCAGGGAGTCAGCATGCTTTGCATCAGCTGGCCTGCGGCGTCTGCTAATTCTCCGGCGTCGTAGATCTGTGGCGATGAGAGGAGTCTTTGGTTTTGGTTCCGATGAACAAAAGAAGAGAGAAGCTTGCGTCAAGGCCGCGAAGCTGATATTAAAGAAAGCTTCTGCAAATATGAAGGCGCAGCAGCGGTCGACCTGGTGATCATTGACTCTGGAAGCAGGCGCAGCCACTAAAGGGATCAGGGACATTTTGCGCAGAAGACGCGGGACGCGGCAGTCGCGCCGATCACGCGCGGCAGCAGGTGGAACGTGGACCTGATCAACCACAGCCAGAACGACTTCAACGACAAGGCCACCAGAGAGGTCGCCCTGCCACGGTGAGCAGCCCAGCCGTGGCGTTCGGCGAGAATGCGCGATCAGTTGTCGTGGCGCCGCGGTTTGGTTGAACAAATGGCAGTCGTAATAGGCGTCGCCGTAGCAATCATAGCCGTCGTAGTACTTGTAGTGCTTGCAGTAGCAGTAGCAGGAGTAGTCGTAGTAGTAGTAGTAGTAGTAGTAGTAGTAGTCGTAGTCGTAGTAGTAGAAGTAGTAGTAGTAGTAGTAGTAGTAGTAGTAGTAGTAGTAGTGGTAGCAGTAGTAGTAGTAGTAGTAGGAGTGGTAGTGATAGTAGTCGTCGTATTAGTAGTAGTAGTACTACTACTACTACTGTTGGTCGTAGGTAGTAATGGTGGTAATGCGAATAGTAGCAGAACAGTCGTAGTAGTAGAAGAGCTCTTAGTAGTAGTCCTAGTAGTAGTAGTCGTCGTCGTCGTCGTCGTCGTAGTCGTAGTAGTCGTCGTCGTCGTAGCCGTCGTAGTAGTAGTCGTGATAGTAATAGTAGTAGTAGTCGTCGTCTTCGTCGTCGTCGTAGGCGTCGTTGTACTAGAAGTAGAAGTAGTACGAGTAGGAGTAGTAGTCGCCGTACTAGTAGTAGTAGTAGTAGTAGTAGTAGTCGTAGTAGTAGTAGTAGTAGTAGTAGTAGTAGTATTATCAGTCGTAGTAGTAGTAGTAGTAGTAGTAGTAGTAATCGTAGTAGTAGTAGTAGTAGTAGTAGTAGTCGTAGTGGCAGTCGTAGTCGTAGTCGTAGCCGTAATCGTAGTCGCAGTCGTAGTCATAGTCGTAGGCGTAGTCGTATTTGTCGTACTAGTCGTAGTAGTAGTTCTTGTAGTAGTATAGGAGTAGTCGTAGTACGAGTAGTAGTTGTAGCCGTTGTCGTAGTAGTCGTCGTAGTAGTAGTAGTAGTAGTAGTAGTAGTACCTAGTAGCAGTAGTAGTACTCGTAGTGGGAAACGTATAAGCAGAAGTAGAGATCGAAGTGGTCTTAGTAGAGGTATACGTTGAAGTCGAAGCAGAAGGAGTAGTAGTAGTAGTAGTAGTAGTAGTAGTTGCCGCCGTTCTTGTAGTAGTAGTAGTGGTAGTAGGGAGTAGTAGTTGTTCCAATTGTAGTTGTAATCGTAGAAGGCGTAGGAGTACGCAGAGGAGAAGGAATAGGAATAGTAGTAGTAGTGATAGCAGTAGTAGTAGTAGTAGTAGTAGTAGTAGTAGTAGTAGTAGTAGTAGTAGTAATAGTAGTAGTAGTAGTAGTAGTAGTAGTAGTAGTAGTCGTAGTCGTAGTCGTAGTCGTAGTCGTAGTCGTAGTCGTAGTCGTAGTCGTAGTCGTAGTCGTAGTCGTCGTAGTTGTTGTATTTGTAGTAGTAGTAGTAGTAGTAGTGGTAGCAGTAGTAGTAGTAGTAGTAGTAGTAGTTGTAGTAGTAGTAGCAGTAGAAGTGGTAACAGGAGTAGTGGTAGTCGTTGTCGTAGTAGTCGTAGCAGTAATGGTACTGGTAGAAGTAGTCGGTGTAGTGGTAGTAGTAGTAGTAGAAGTAGTCGTACTAGTAGTAGTAGTATAAGAAGAAGAAGTAGTAGTTGTAGTTGTAGTAGTAGTAGTAGTAGTAGTAGTAGCAGTAGTAGTAGTAGCAACAGCAGTAGTGATAGTAGTAGTCGTAGTAGTAGTAGTAGTCGTCGTCGTCAACGTCGTCGTCGTCGTAGTAATATTAGTGGTAGTAGTAGCAGCAGCAGTAGTAGTAGAAGTAGAGAAGTAGAAGTAGTAGCAGTAGTAGTAGTAGTAGTAGTAGTAGCAGCAGCAGCAGCAGCAGTAGTAGTAGTAGTAGTAGTGGAAGTGGTCGCCGTAGTAATATTCGTGGTAGTAGTAACAGCAGCAGTAGTAGTAGAAGTCGAAGTAGTAGCAGCGCTCGTTTTCTTATTTTTATTATTTTGATCAGTAGTCGTAGTAGTAGTAGTAGTAGTAGTAGTAGTAGTAGTGGTGGTAGTAGTAGTAGTAGTAGTAGTAGTAGCAATAATAGTAGTAGTAGTAGTAGTAGTAGTAGTAGTCGTAGTAGTAGTCGTAGTAGTAGTCGTAGTAGTAGTCGTAGTAGTAGTAGTATTATTTGTTGTAGTTGTAGTTGTAGTTGTAGTTGTAGTTGTAGTTGTAGTTGTAGTTGTAGTAGTCGTAGTACTAATCATAGTCGTGGTGAAAAGTAGTAGCAACAGTCGTAGTCGCAGCAGTTGTAGTGCTAGTAGTAGTGTTAGCAACAGTAGTAGTAGTAGTAGTAGTAGTAGTAGTAGTAGTAGTAGTAGTAGTAGTAGTAGTAGTAGTAGAAGTAGTAGTAGTAGTAGTAGTAGTAGTAGTAGTAGTAGTAGTAGTAGTAGTAGTAGTAGTAGTAGTAGTAGTAGTAGTAGTAGACGTAGAAGTATTCGTATCAGTAGTAGTAGTAGTAGCCTCAGTCTCAGGAGGAGATGAGGAACAGCAACATAATCAGAAGGGCACCGGCGGCAAGGGACATTGGAAGCGAACCAGAAGGTACCGTGAGCACAGGGGTACGCAGTAGCCGGAGGAGTCGTATCAACAAGTGAGATGCACAAGCGCAAGGATGAAGATAATGAGGAGGAGGGCGAGCTGCAGCGGTAGCGGGAGGAGCATCAGCAGGCTGTTGAGGTTCAGGATGTCTGCGGAGGGGGAGAGAACAGGTCTTTTTTTGAATAGGGGCTCGTCGAGTTGTAGCGTCAATACCAGTGTGGACACCCTGTGGTTTGGCGATGATTGGCCTCTTGTTGTGCTTGTTGCGGCCTGTGCCTTCCGTACCACCGAGTATAATTGGTGATGGGGGAACGGGAGGAGGGCGAAATTGATTGTGGGGGAGGGCTTGGCAAGGATGCGTGGAGGGCCTGCGAGCGGGAGGGACCCCCGTGTGCGCCCCCCAGCCTGAGGACGAGGACGACCCCGAGCAGGACGGCGGCGGGCAGGAAGAGAAGGAACCCGAGGAGGACGGCCTCGACGATGAAGGGCGGGAGGCCCCGAGTTCCGCGCGCGGGCGACGCTCCTCTCCTGACCCCTTCCCCCCAAGCGCCTGGGCGTCGCGGGCGATCCTCAGCGAGCGTTCGTTCGCGACGCCGGCCTCCAGGACCCGCTTTCGGACCCCGTGGGCTTCCAGAAACGGCACGCGGCGAACAACCGGTCCGGGGTTGTCAGGAGGGGAAAGACACACAGACACGTTTGTTCGTCGACCCCCCGGAAAATGTAGGAAAATATGGGAAGTGGGGGGGGAGACGAAAATCCAGAAAATATAGAAAATATGGAGACTCCTGGGATTTGTGTGTATTTATTTGGGTGTCCTTGGGCCTCTTGAGGTTGGGGGGACGCGAGTGCCCTTGGGGCCCACGTGTTGAAAAGAATCGCGACCCCGGAGGTCCGGGCCTTTCTCGGTGCTCCCCTCTCCACTTTCTCGTTTCTTATTTGCAGGTCTGTTTCTATATTTATACACATATATCAGGGTGTGGTGGGGGCCGATCGGTCATCCACTGTTCCTGGGCGCGTGGCTGAAGTGGGGTTTCGCGGTGCGGATTCTTGTTGCGTTGTTGTTGTCGTTCTCGCCCGCGACCCCCCCGCGAACCCCCCCCCGCGATCCCCCCCACGACCCCCCCGCGGCCCACCTCAAGACCCACCCCAAGACCCACCCGCGACCCACCCCGCACCCGCCCCCTCACTCTGATCCGCAACTGCCGGGTGCTACGTATATACAGATACACATCACTTTTCGTCTGTCTGCCTTGTTTCTCCTGCTAATCGACTCCACCCCCCTACCTTCTCGTCCTTCCTCTTCCCCCCATTCCTCCAATGCGTCCTGCCTCCACCTCCCACATTCTGCCTAATGCCTTTGTAATTGTTCGGCCAACTTCCTCATACGCCCCCCCTCCTCGTCGCACTACCAGGTGTGGCGTCAGGGCGGGCCGGGCGTTTCGGTTCAGGCCTCCCCACAGCTTCTGACCCTGAGAAGTCAAATCTTTCTCGCTACGCGGATGAAAGGGCAAGTCGTTTCAAAAAGGTGGCTCTCGCCATAGCGTCACGCACGGCTATCAGTCTCACATGCTTCCTGCAGCTACATTGAAGGCGAGTGGGTGTTCTTCAAATTCTGGCGCTCGCCCCGGCGCCGCGCACGTTCGTGTCGAAAGCTCCGAGCAGTGACACGGGTCGGGGGCGACCCGCTTTCAGCATGTACCGCTTGGGCGCAGCGCGCTCCAGCATCACGTTTGTCCAGCAGGTTCAGACGCTGGGGGAGCAGTGGCCAGGTGTGGAACGTGGCAGGGTGCGGAAGGGCAGAGGGAAGCCCGCGGGAGGGCGGGTGGGAAGGACAAGGATGACGAGGAGGACCAGAGTCCGCCCAGCATGCACCAACAATGATGCAACACACCATGTCGTCCCAAGTTCCCTGCCCACTATAAGAGCTTCTTTTCTCTGGTGAGCGCCCCCTTGCGATCGCCATGCGAGTTGTCCTAATCAGGGCCGTGTAGAAGCATACAGTGGCACAGCCATCATATCAATGCTAGTGTATGTCTGGTGCCCTCTTGGGGTCTTCTTCGGGTTCTCTGCCCTCTTGGGGTCTTTTTCGGGCTCTCTGAGGGCCCTCTTGGGAATAGTGGGCAGGAGGACGAGGAGGAGGAGGCATACGAGGAGGACGACAATCAGGGAAAGGACGAAGTTGAGGATAAGGACGATGACCAGGAGGACGAGTAGGGAAAGGAGACGGAGGTGGAGGAAGACGGAGACGGCGTCGAAGACGAGGACGCTGACACCGAAAACGAGGACGAGGAGGACGAGGACGGACGTTAACGATGATAAGTGTTCGGGCCATCTCGGAGTCGTTTCGGAGCCGTCTCGGAGTACTCTTGAGGTTTTCATTGGCTCATCGTGGGGCTTTTCAGGGGCCCTGTGAACGTCCTGCGGTCATCATGGGGCTACTTTGAGATGCCGTGGGGCCCGTTTGGCGCTCTCTTGGGGCTCTCTTCTTTTGGGCGCCCTGGAGGGCATATTGGGGTTATCTTGGAGGGCCTCGATCGAAAGCGAGGGTATATCCGATCTGCCTACCCCTCGCTGTGGCCATCGAAATCGCCCCTTGGGAGCGCTCTTGGGGCGTTCTTGGGGTCTCTGAGAAGGCAGACATCATTGGTTACCCGTAGGTTTTTGGAGGCGGTTGACCTCTTGTGGGGATCCATGGGGGGGGGGGGCTTCGATCGTATTTGTAATGATGTGTGTCTTTCATGGGCCTCTTGGAAGCATGATGGAGGCCATCCTGGACGATCCTCGGCTATCTTAAACCATCTTGGAGGCCAGTTTGAAGCATCGGAGACTTTGTCGGAGCCATTTGGGGCCATCTTGGGTGTTCTAACCCCTCCTCCCCCCCGTCCAGACTCCCAGGAGGGGGTTAGGGGTGGGTCAAGACACTCCCTAGATAGCAAGCCGTCTAGCTCACTCCCACCCGCCCTCTCAACACAGAAGTAACACCCGAGCCTGGGCATGTTCAGCGGTCGTCCTTGGATGGACAGCTACTGGGACCCCAAACCGACCCCATGTGCGCGACGTTGGGGCGAGGTGCGCCATGCGTGCCAGGCGCGCCACGCGCGCCAGGCACCCCTGGGGCCCGAGCGTGCCAGGCTCGCCTGATGCGCCAGATGCGCCACGTGCTCCGCGTGCGCTAGGTGTGCCGCATACTCCAGCCGCGCCAGGGCCACATTCGGGGCACGTGCAAAGCGTGTTAGGTGCGCCTGCGCGTGTGGCAGCACGCATTGGGAATCATGTCGGCCCCCAACATTCCTGTTGAAAGCCAATTATCATCATTGTGTCTTGTGGGCCTGCGCACAGCAGGCCATACGCCACCACCCCCGCCGTCCCTGTCAGAACCACTTGACTGTGATCGCGCACAGCAGGCAATATGCTGACAACACCCCCGCCGTCCCTATCAAAAACAATACCAAGTGCTTGCGGGCCTCACGGACATGACTCAAGACTTTGTCCCAAAGCGTGCTTTGTATTGTTTTTTTTTGACAGGGATGATGGGTGGTGGTGCATCGGGTTGGCCGCGCATGCTCCAAATGTGGAGATCCAGGGCGTTGTGCATTGTTTTTTGACAGGGATGCTGGGGGGGGGGAGCATGGTTCCTGGTTGGCTGCCAGTCGCCTGGGGGAGGGGGTGTATACGAATAGGGAACAGTGATAAACTCCTCCCCGAAGGGAAAGAAGGTTTTCAATGAAGAAAAACCGAACTCGTTAGATCACCCACGCCCAGAGGGCCGGCGGGACTTATCTGCCTTCCATGTGAGCACAAGTTGTGGAGCTCAAGCTTCAGGATCACAATGTATGATGAATCCACAGACTGAACGGCCTGCCCGCCCTTGAGGGCGGGTCAGACGTGCAGGTGGGGCACTTTTGACAACCAGGTGGTGCAACGAGCCGGAGTTGCTCACGAGGAGCAGGGATCGAACAATGAGGTGGGAGGCATACAGTCGGAGACGAGAGGCAGGACGCATGAGGGAGGGCGCAGGTTGTCGGGTGCAGATGGGTGATGGTGAGGAGAAGGGTACGGCTTCTGATTGGCGTGGTTGACACAAGGCTCCCTATCTCATCCTGCCCCCGTGATGCCATATTCCTTTGCTTCTTCGATTGCGTTTCCTACTGCGTCCTCTGCTCCCTTGCCCTTTCCTGTGTTTCTTTTCTCGGGGGTCAGAAGAAATCCTCCGAGCCCGGACCTCCTCGGAGACTGCGAAGCCAGAGGTCCCTCCTGAGATCCTGAGAGCGAGGTGGAAGGAGGAGGGAGAGGGAAGTGAATGACGGGGGCGGAGGGACGAGAAGAGAAGAGGGGGGGAGGCGTGGGGGGGTAGGGACGAGGGACGGAGAGATGCAGCGAGGGCGGGTGGGCGGGCGAAAGGGAATGAAAGAGGCGGACGGGCGGAGGGGAGGGGAGTGGACGGGGGAGGTCGGAGATGGGGCAGAAGGGAGGTGGGGGAGAAGGCGGAGCGAAGGGGATGGGGGAAATGGGAGGGCTGACTGAAGGAGAGTCGATTGCAGCCTGCTCTGGGGTGGGGATCCGTCGCAGAGGCGCTCTATGTCGCCGCGATGCGCGACGTGCTCGGCTCACACTGCGGCGCCTGCATCCTGGACGGTACCTTCTTCGGCGACCTGCAGAATGAGGAGCTCGACGACGGTGCCAAGGAGGCGCGGTCCCTCCAGCAGCTGCTCATCAAGGCGTGCCCGAAGCCTTGGATGAGGAGCAGGAGGATAAGCCTCACATCCAGGTGCGTCGACACGACAGGTGCTTTCTGCCTCTTGAAGCCTCGGGCCATGATTCCTTCGCGACCTCGGATCTAGAGGGGATATGCTGCCTTTCTTGATCTTGATATTGTTTGCAGGCATGGGCACCGAACCTCGTTTGTCCTCAGGCCTTGGGCCAGCGTGCGAACGATTATGAGTATGGTGAGGTGGAGAAAGAGGAAATGAAGAGCTAGAGGCGAGGAGGAGGAGGAAGAGGAGGAGGAGGAGGAGCAGGAGGAGGAGGAGGCAGAAGAAGAATAAGAAGAACACTAAGAGAGGAGGAGGAGGAAGAGGAGGAGAAGGAGGAGGAGCAGAGGGAGGTGGCGGAGGAAGAGGAGGAGGAGCAGGAGGAGGAGGAGGAGGAGGAGGAGGAGGGGAGGAGGAGGAGGGAGGAGGGGAGGAGGAGGAGGAGGAGGGGAGGAGGAGGAGGAGGAGGATGAGGAGCAGGAGAGGAGGAGGAGGAGGAGGGGGAGGAGGAGAGGAGGAGGAGGAGGAGGAGGAGGAGGAGGAGGAGGAGGAGGAGGAGGAGGAGGAGGAGGGGAGGAGGAGAGGGGGAGGAGGAGGAGGAGGAGGAGGAGGAGGAGGAGGAGGAGGAGGAGGAGGAGGAGGAGGAGGCGGAGGAGGA